CCCCAAAACCCCAAAACCCCAAAACCCCAAAACCCCTCTTCAATTAAAATTATTTGAATTATAAACCTTTGTTTAACTTTTTGAGACGACGCTTTTGGGTATTTCCTTTGCTTTTTTTAGCTATTTGTTCAAGTTTACGTTTTGGGTATTCTGGATAGATTGGGCGGTAATCTTCGTCTCTTTTGATCTTCTTTTCAATATTTAAAGGGTTAGCTCGCTTTTTTTGTTGTCTCATACTCATTTCACGATGCTTTATCATAAGTCTAGTTCTGAATAGAATTTGTGCAAGCTCTGCTTCTTTAAATTTATCATGACATCAGCGTTGACTAGATCTGATGAAAGTGCCAGCTTTGAAGCTTTCACTATTACTTGGTAGTTCGAAGACCTCTCCATCGCTATCAACTTCTGAATAATCATTATGGATAGAACTTTTGATTTTATTTTCCTTAGAATTAGGTAATGATTTATCATCAACTTTGTCATTGTCTTCTACATCTTCTTCTGAAGATTCTCCTTCGTTTTCTGGGTCAGTTTCTCCTTCCCCATCAGCTTTTTGATTCCCTTCTCCTTCAGCTTCATTGTCTCCTTCACCTTCCATTTCTTTCTCTTTCTCTTTCTCTTTTTCTCCTTCTCCTTCTCCTTCTCTTTCAATTTCTCTTTCTTCCTTTCCTTCTTCTTCTTTACAAGGGTCTTGTTCATTGGTAATATTTTCTTTGTCTTCAGCCTCTAGATTAGATTCTCCTTCTGCCTCATTTTGGGTCTCTCCCTCAGCTCCACTAGATAGTTCTTTGTCATCTCCCTCTGCTTCGTTAGGGAGCTTTTTTGTTTTTTCGGGTTGATGCTCTTCTTCACCTTCTTGATTATCTTCATCTTTTGAGTGGAATTCCTCTGTGTATTTGTCATTTTCATCTTCAGCAGGGTCTTCTCCTTCAGCTTCTGCATTTAGGCCTTTTAGATTTTGATTTTGTGGATCCTCCCCTTCAGCTTCTTTAACAGCCTCTTGGTCTCCTTCTCCTACACTAGAAGGAGGTCGCCCTTCTTTGTTGGAAGGATCTGCCACAGGGATTACAGATGGCTTATGTTGCTGGGTTTCGAGACCATTCTTATCAGACTGGGGAAGGTTTGAGGGAGTGTCTGATTTATCAACATCACCTTCTCCTTGAGAAGACTCTGAATTATTCTCTCCTTCAACCTCTGGTTTTTCAACTTCTAATCTGTCTTGCTTAAGCTTTGTTTCTTCCTTTGCTTCTTCAGAGATTGCATCCTGGGTCAACTGATTTTCACTCTTACTCTCTTCGTTTATATTATCAAGATTGGTAGGAATCATTCCTACTGCCATGACTGAAGGATTTGACTGACTTACAGGTTGCTTGTAGGCATCAGCTATTGGTAAAAAGTTAGCTTACATTTAGAAGCTGGTCTACTGAGTTTATCTTTCATGCTACCTTCACTCTCTCCTTCACAATAGAATTTAGAGCTATCTATACTTTCTCCTTCTGGCCTAGAAATTGAGTCTTTGATAGAAGTTCCAAACAAAGGTTTCTCAGCAGTTAAAGGCTTGCTAATCGGGTTATTTTGTAAATTCTTCATCGGCTTCTTTATTTGTACAGAAGACTTTTTGGTACCAAAATTAATCGCCTTTGGTGTAGCATCTGTTTTAGATACATACGATGGGTCAAGGTACTGTGGATTCGTACTATCTGATGCTTTTTGGTTTCCAAAGACTCCAGTGGTATCAACCTTAGCATTTATTCCAAATTTAGCTGTTTCTCCTACATTATTATTCTTCTCTTCCTCGTTTTGGCCTTGATTACTGGCTGGTTTCATCCCATCGTTCCTACTATTACTTGAGTCTTTCTTCTTATGGAACATATTTTTCATGTCTATAAAATGATACATGAAGATACTCTTTGCTTTCTTAGCTTCTTCTGAGGTATCTTCTTCCTCAATTTTTCCGTTGATCTAAATGATTCAATAATAAGGATACTTGTGTCCTATGGGGTATTTTCTTCTTTTTAGCACCACTAGTGATTCCCATATATTGTTTAAATTTTTGATTAGTAGACTTCTTCCTTTTCTTCTTTGGCTTCAACTCTTTCTGGAAAAGGTGACTGTACGGTTCTATTTCTTCTTTAATCATCCGACATGCTAGAGGTTAAAAAAGATTCATACCTTCTCATTTACGACAATGAGAGTCACTCCTGTTGAAGTTTATTAGGTGTGACTGAGAGAGCCTTTCAAAAACTGATAAATGGTCCTGGGCTCGCTTGTGTTCTCCCTGTACATTTAGTCGCCTAGGCGGAGTGTCTCTGCCAACAACAGGTTTGCGATGGAGTGTTCTAGCAAGGGATTTTCTATTATTCATATTCATAACTCTAAGCATTAAGGGATTCTCTTACGTTTTCTTGATATTGTTTTGCATATAGCTTGGCCTATAAAATGTACTCGTAGTTGAAATTACCTCACTCTTGGTACGGTACGCCTCTTATCCTTATTTCACTATAATCTTCTTCAAGGTATGAGCACTCCGCTTGGGAAAGACTCTCCCATATCGGTTTGGGGTGGGATGATTAGCTCGCTTTTGGATTAATGGAAATAAAGAATTTCCAGCTTTCTAAAAATTAACTGTTCCCTTACATTTTTGATATCATAAACCTTGTGGGATGTCTTATTCTTGACACTTTTCGAGGTTTCATCTTTCCCTCTGTTGATAATAGAGATATCCAAGATAATGCTCTTACGAGGGTTAATACCGCTATCAAGCCGTAAATTATTAGCCATGGAATTGTTTCTTTCATCTGCGATGGATTTATACTTATTCTTGCTACTTTCTTTTGCATTTTTATCTCCAAATTCAGAGTCAAGCACCTCATCATGGTCTTGATCAGTGATAGTTTTCTTTCTTGTAATATTTCTTCTTATCAATTTCTGCTGGAGTGCAGTAGTTTTGGTACTCTTCAGGAACTCTTTGTCCCTCTGCATTTCTTGAATGATCATATTAGGCTTAATCTTTAGCTGCAGGTTGCTAAAGCTTTGACCCCGCTTGGAGGAATTATGCCGAGAGTTCTCCTTTCCTAAAGTTTATGGTCAATCTTACTTTCAGACATCTGCATTGAGACTATGGAGTAGATTATATTATCTAGCTTAGAGCCTCTCTGCGGTGGCTTTCCAGCTCTGACCTTATTTCATTTTCTGGTCAAGATCCGGCATCTTGTACACATTAGTAATTTTGGACTTTATGAACTCTCTGATGGTTTCAATTTTGATGGTAGTTGGATGCTTCGGCTTGCTCTAAGAAGTTAAGAGAAGTACATACTGAGTATAAACTCTTTGCCAATTTTGGATCAATCCCATCACGAGCAGACAGGTTCATTTGGTTGAAAGGAAATTCATTTGAGAGAATTTCATCAGGATCCTCGATTTCTAACCTGCCGTTTCTTATTGAATTCAGCTGGAAATATGGTAAAATGATTGTTTAAAGAGATTTTTGAAATTTTCATACCTTGCTTGCAACACCTTTGCTCTTGCCCCTTTTAAAGCTCGTGTTAAATTGCCTGTTGCCTCCTCTTGATGTAATGTTCCTGTCACTTATGGGAATAAGTAGGATATTTACCTTGATCCGGTATTGCTGAGCTTCTCAACTGTAAAGTTGGTATAGTCTTTATTCTTAGAATTTGAGGCTAATGAGTCAGAAAACTGCAAACAGTAGATTTAATCTTACTGACATCATAACTATCTTGCTTCATTTTCCTATTGCATTCTTTTTTTAAATTCTATTGATTAGCATGTGATGTTTACTCTTATTCTTCTTTCACCGTCATTTCTCATTTTTTAGAAAATTTTCAATTCAATATAATTTATATTTAATGGGGTTTTGGGGTTTTGGGGTTTTGGGGTTTTGGGG